GTCTCAGATGCACAAGCATTCTTACTTTTAGTTTGCTTGATATTTCATATTTTTATGTGACAAAGAACAGCAAAAATATAAACTTCAGAGGAATCCCTATTTGGTAAAGATGAAACTCTTCTGCACTGCAGTTTTTACTCGATGGTGATGCTGGTTTCTGCTGAAACCAATTGATGCTTAATGTCAGACAAAACAATAAGATTCAGTTTTATGGACAAGATAAAGCTGAAGTGAACGAATTCTGATACCAATTTGTTGATTGCAGGGAACCTTTTTGCTTTTGTCTTGTTTGTGTCACCCATGTAAGTAGTTTAATGATCTTTCCATCTAAAGATTGAGAAATGAATGAAAATTGAAACTCGTATGTTTGTTTGATCAGACCTACATTCAGGAGAATTTTAAGAAACCAATCAACGGAACAATTCTCAGGATTGCCTTACATTTATGCTCTCTTGAACTGCTTGATCTGCCTCTGGTATGGCATGCCCCTTGTATCACCTGGTGTTATATTGGTTGCCACCGTGAATTCAATTGGAGCGGTTTTTCAGCTAGTTTATGTGAGCATCTTCATCGCATATGCTGAAAAAGCCAAAAAGGTATTATCCTTGCATTTGATTGGTCTTTTTAAGGTGATATTCAATTCTGCATTGCTTGATTCAACATGGGTTTTACGGTCTTTGGGTGTTGCTTGCAGCTGAAGATGTCTGGATTGTTAATAGCAGTTTTTGCACTATTCAGTATCATAGTCTTTGTGAGCATAAAACTTTTTGACTCTGATGACCGGCGGGCATTTGTTGGATACTTGAGTGTTGCTTCTCTGATTTCTATGTTTGCTTCGCCCCTATTTGTCATTGTAGGTCATCTGAAAATGTTAAAGCTTTTTTAATGTTGGATTGCACAATTCCTTTCCACTCATACGTTTTCATGTATACTTTATGCAGAAATTGGTCGTTAAATCGAGAAGTGTTGAATATATGCCATTCTATCTTTCTCTTTCAACCTTCTTGATGAGTCTATCATTCCTTGTGTATGGAATGTTCAAGGATGATCCTTTCATTTTTGTAAGTACTATGTTTATGATTATGGTGATTATATATTATATTTTTTATTATGATTACATCCTCATTTTATCAATTTGTTTTCCAATGCGTTGATGTCCAAATACTCCCAAGGTTCTGTCTCTACTAAACTGATTTTTTCTTTTCATTGATATTTTTGGATCCAGGTCCCGAATGGAATTGGAACACTATTGGGGATTGTTCAGTTAATGTTGTATGCCCATTATAGCTCCAAATCTGGTGAAAACTCAAGAGAGCCCTTGCTGGATTCATATGCATAAATGAATCTACTAAGCAACACAGAGCTTCTTGCATGGTAGTCAATCTATTTTGTGTGTAGCGGATAAGTGTGCCATCAAAATCTGCATAATGAATAAAGTAATAGGAATTCATGTCATCTGAATGACATGATTGGTCTCCAAGTCCATAGGTTTTCCGAATGATTTGAACCACTAAGTGAAGTATCAGTACGAAGCATTTTTGGACTTACCCAAATCAGTCGTTTGAGTGACTGGTAATCTCTCTGTAGCTCATTGCCATACTGAAAACAGAGAAGTATAGAAGTAATGCTGGGATTGGTAGATGATAAAGGGGAAGTTCAGTGTATTTTGATTTGAGCTTGATCCATTGCATTGCTAGAGGCCTTTCTTATTCCATTCTTTGTGCAAATCACTGATTGGAGAAAAAAACATGAAATATCTATGTTCCAGTCAACATATCTGTGTTATCGTGCTCTCAAAGTTGTATTATTGAAGATGCATCTCAAGCAACTTCCAGGTTGGATTTAATGGTTTTAGTGATTTGGCCATCTGGGTTGGTTGTTTTGATAAGATATTTTAGGTTTGTTAATTATTAGTAATCCATGGATCCAGCCATTAGAGAAAAGCATGTGAAGCTATTGTTTGACTTTGAATCCTAACATTAATACCAAATTTCTTAATAAAGGTAACAAAAACTTGCACATAGAGCACAAGCTGCTGCAGAATTTCTGTCCATTTGAGGCAATCTGGATGCTAGGAACTGTCTAAGACCAATAGAAACTTTTAGAGCCACCAGCTTTTAATATGGCCAAACCACTGAAAAATCACCTTACGCTCAATAGTTTCAAAAAATTTGTGGGATTCAAGCAATAACCACCAATTAGAAGACTAGAAATTAAAAAAAAAAAAAAGGATAGTATAAGATCTATTTTGCGGTTGCGAAATTCAAAGCATTGGGTTGAACTGTATTTTTGAGACAAAAAATAAATAAATAAATAAAATTCAGTGTAACATACGAAGACATGCCTTTTTAATTTTCACTTCTTTGGAAATTACAATATCATAATAGAATTTCTACAAATTTACACGCAATAAATGCTAGAATTACCTAACTAAGAGCAATATGCAACTAATCTTAAAGATTACAATCCTACTGGCCTCCAGCAGATGATGAGAATGGGCTCAAGGTTTGAGCAAAAGCCTGGTACTTGCGGAGATCAGAATCACTCACACTCCTACGGGCATACTTCATAGACTCTTTGAAGTGCACAAGCTTAATTTCAGACACTTCCTCCAGGGGATATTCCTCTTTCATAGCTTCAGGATTCTTCCTTTTTTCCCTTTCAATATTCTTCTCAATCTCTTCTTTAATTGCATATTTACATGCTCTTTGGCAGATTTCTGTGATATCAGCACCACTAAAGCCTACAGTAAGCTTGGCAAGAGCTGCAAGGTCAACATCTTCTGAGACAGGAGACTTTCTTAGACATGCCTTGAAAATTTGTAGTCGGGAACTCTCATCTGGCAAAGGTATGTATATTAATTGATCTAGGCGACCCGGCCTTAGAAGTGCAGGATCAATAACGTCTGGCCTATTGGTAGCCCCAATCACAAAGATGGTTTTCTTTGCTGACAAGCCATCCATCTCAGTCAAAAGTTGATTCAAAATTCTGTCAGCGGCACCACCAGCATCACCTACACTGTTTCCTCTTTGAATGGCAATAGAGTCCAATTCATCAAAGAAGAGAACACAAGGAGCAGAGCGACGAGCCTTGTCAAAAACATCCCTGATGTTGGCTTCACTTTCTCCAAACCACATGGTGAGGAGCTCTGGACCCTTGATACTAATGAAATTTGCCTTACATTCATTTGCAATTGCCTTAGCCAGCAAGGTTTTCCCACAACCAGGAGGGCCATAAAGGAGAACTCCTCTTGAAGGTGACATGCCAAACTTCTCAAACATTTGAGGATGCTCCACTGGATATTGAACTGTCTCTTGAAGCTCCCTCTTAACTTTATCAAGGCCACCAATGTCTTCCCAGCTGACTTTAGGCACTTCTACAACAGTTTCGCGAAAAGCAGAAGGGTTGCTGGTTCCAAGAGCAGTGTTAAAGTGCTGATCTGTGACATTCATGGAATTGAGTATCTGAACATCAATGGTCTCATCTTCTACATCAAATATATCCATCTTTTCTCTAATGCACTGAAGTGCAGCTTCAGTGCAGAGAGCTGCAAGATCTGCCCCAACAAATCCATGAGTTTCCCTGGCCACTTTTTCTAAATTTACATGTTCTGAAAGCTTCATGTTCTTTGTCTGAATTTGAAGAACCTCTAGGCGACCAACTTCATCCGGTGCATTGATATCTATTTCCTTATCAAATCTCCCAAACCTCCTCAATGCGGGCTCAATGCTCTTAGGCCTATTTGTAGCTCCAATAACCATGACATAAGCAGAAGATTTCATCCCATCCATGAGTGTCAGTAGCTGAGAAACAACCCTTCTCTCCACTTCACCTTCTGTCTTTTCACGCTTAGGAGCAATGGAGTCGATCTCATCAATAAATATGATTGAAGGAGCATGCTCTTCAGCTTCAGCAAATGCTTTCCTGAGATTACTCTCACTCTCACCAGCCCTACCAGACATAATCTCAGGTCCATTAATACACAAAAAGAAACATCCTGTTTCATTAGCAATAGCTTTTGCAAGCAATGTCTTTCCAGTGCCAGGAGGTCCATAAAGCAAAATCCCTTTAGGTGGCTTAACGCCAATAGCCTTAAAAAGCTGTGGATGTTTCAGCGGCAACTCCACCAACTCTCTAATCTTCCCCAACTGTTTCCTCACACCTCCAACATCTTCATAACCAACACCATTAAGCCTCTCCTCATCCTCTCTCTTCACTGGCTCCCCTTCGCAAAAAATCTCAGTCTCAGGGGTAACCACACAGCGCTCACCAGGGTCAGTTTCAACAACCTTAAAATCCACACTGCACATTCCTCCTTTTACAGGAAAAAGATCACCTTTTCGCACAAGACGATACGAGTCGGCAAAATAAGGCTCCAAATAAGCATTAAAAAAGTCCCCAGTAATGCCATCAACAGTGTCATCAAGAGGGAGAACATGAACTCTCTTTGCGTCCATTACATCGTCACAAACATGAACAGAAACCCTGTCACCAAGCCTCACCCTCAAGTTTGTTCTTGCAACCTTATTTAATCTTATTTTCGATTCATCACAAGTGTCATCAGCAACTGCGCAGCAAACAGTGTCCCTCTTTCTCTTGCCCTTGAGCAACACAGTGTCATAACTAAACACGTTAAGTTCCTCCATGGTATGTGGGTGCAATGCTATCACAGAGTTGTCATCTTCAATGGCGTCCTCCACAACAAGCCTATTGGCAACCTTCTGACGTTTAGACATAGTAAACAAACTTGAACAGCAAGTTGAATTGAATTGAAGAGAAGAGAAGTGTATTTTGATGTATTTATAATGTTCAACTCCTTGTCCCATTTCACGGAGGTGAAGGGAAAAAAATTTAATCCATGAACCAAAAAGTTTCTGTTTCTGTTTCCTAATTGTAGTTGAAATAATGAATTAAAGCATATGGGTNACAATACAGTACAAGAAACATAAGGATAGCAATGTATAAAGGAAAATCAAATGCTCCCCAACTTGTTCCTCTTTTTTCTTTGTTGGCATTTATGCAGTTCTACTTATCCAAAAGAACAAAATGAATAAATGTAAAATTCAAAGGATCGATATCTTCTATCCCCTACTAAAGATACTTACTCGCCAAGATTTCCAGGGAAAGCTCCCAACTCTCTCATCTCCATTTCTTCTTGACATATCTGATCTACATTGTTCTGTGCTCTATACAGCTTGCAGAACTCTGCTAAACGAGCAATATCCTGGCTTCTATCTATGGTTCCTCCCTCTCTTTTTGCCAGATTTTGCTAAATATTTATCAAAGAGACAGGGAAAACAAGTTAGTAAAACCCACATTTAGCAGAAAACATATAACCTGATACACCTGACTCAGGCAAGAAAATATAAGTATATGGGGGGTAGATTTGAAAGACAAAATTCACCTTTTACTTTCTTCCAGGACTATAATTAACATGAAAATGTTATTAAAGAAAGAGTAAATCACAAAAAGGTGTACCAGTAGTCCACAACACAAATTTGTATTTCATAAAATTTAAGGAACAACAGCACCCCAATCCCATTGATCAAGGAAAAAGGAACCTCCATTAAATGCTTTGTAACTGAAGCCCACAAAAAGCAGAAGTATCTCTCTCCCATGAAAGGCCCAAGAACGAGAATTAAACTAAACCTTGGTGATCTTGAAGGACCTTGTAGTTTAAATTAATCACGTACTCGTTCTAGGCATCAAAGTTGACTTTGTGCATGGGACCATCCCCGGATGAACCACATCCATCAGTTGGCAATGAACCGCACCGAAACATGCCTGCAATTTCAATTCAAAGATCCAAACAAACTTTTCTCAATAACAGAAGACAATAGAAAAGAAATTAGGGTTATAAATTGAAGATAAAACAAAGAAGAAAAACCTCTTCGACTTTGGAGAGTTGATCCAAGAGAGAAACTCCAATCTACCAACGAAGTAAGCCAAATCCATCATGCCAATATTACTTGTCATGTCTGTATTTCTTTCGTTCTAACGGCTCTTTAGTTCTGGAGAGAGAGAGGATCCTAATTCTTCTCCTATTATGAGATATTGGGTGTAAATCTCTAGTTCATATATGCTCTATTCAATTATAGAAAAGGCCAAATTCATAACGGCCCAATATCCTAATTCTTTTTCTCTTATTGTTTGTTTTTTTTATAGAATTACAATAACCTAATTCCTATGGTTTCAAAAGAATATATATATTTTAATACTTTTTTATGGAATATTGAAACTTAAAAGAAACCAATCTGGAATCCTAGACTGTTTATCACAAATGTGACAAGGAAATTGAAGAGTGTAATATTAGTGTGAATTATATTATATAATAATTTATTGTATATTTTGATAATAAGCAGAATTGTTACTTGAATAGGCTGCAAATTCCTGGGTAAAGAGTAAGAGGACCCTCAACCTTTTATGAGAAATATTACAGCAGATAAAACAATAGTCACCCGTGTATATTAAGTAATTGAGAAAAAGTGCATTGGTCAATGTATTACAATTGAAAGAGCAAAGTATACAACAAATTTAACCCCTTACTGTTATGCTTGCACAATTAGTAATTAACAAGAGGAAAACATAATGACAAAATAATATGCCCAGTATTTAGAATAACGCTTTATTAGCAGCAACAATAATGGCATAGCAACCACCAGCTGTAAAATATTATATTTGCTAATTGAGTGAAGAATAAAAGGTTCTATTTATTTGACTGAAGAAAAAGCTTTTGAGGAAAAAATCAACGAAGGGAACATAAGCAACCGCCAACGTACCTGCTTACATCTCTCTTCAATCAATAACATTTTCCACCATCTAATGTTGTATGCCTATATAAGTAACTTCAAAGGAGAGCCAATTAATCACCTTAACACCAGTATGATGCTTGTTGAGAATGAGCATAGCTAGTGCATCACTTTCCACATCCTCAACTACAACAAGGAGTTCTCTGTTTTTCTGTTTTTTATCAAGCAGCAAAAGAAGAAAGGAATGAGAATTCTTCCATGAATATCTTGATAATTTACCTACCATTCATCATGAAAAAAGATACGAAAAAAAGTTAATTACATTTAGAGCCAGCTCCAATATTCTCACAAGTGAGTTCATGTCTGATATCTTCTTGTCATGAATGAGAATGTAAGGATTTTCAAGTTCCTGTAACATTTGAATAACAACATTTAATATTTCAGCTTTTACTTTCATGTAAAGGAAAATTTCATGGTGTTAAATGGAATTCTTCATGTACTAGTCATAACTAGTAAAACCTCACATGAAACCAAGGGTGGAAGTAGCAATCTTATAAACTTGAAAAGAAAAGGAACAATTTAACAAGAAATTCTCAGCACATACTTATAATGGAAACCTCATTTTACCACAATACAACGAGAAATCCATTGATGAAAGTAAAAAATCATCGTTTAGAGTGACAAAGATCTGAAACTTGCACATTTCTGTGTCTTTTGTTTAGTAATAAAATATGGAGATATATAGCCTCGTCCGAGCTTCATTCCTTCCACCACTTCCAACTCGTTATCCAAAGTATTTCCATCCTATAAAATTTGCATATTAATGCATAAGCTTGACCTATTTGTAAAAGTTAAATGGCAGTAATACAGTTAAAGGAATAAAAGTTCTTACAGCAACAGTAATCACTCCTTCCTTTCCAACTTTTTCTATTACTCTTGCTATCAATTCTCCAATCTCACGTTCACCACCATTTGCAGAGATAGTGGCAACCTATTCATAACATACCAATTTCTTTGAATTGCTATTGACAAAGACAAAAGTTATCAGCTTGGCTTTTTACTATAGCATCAAGTAAGTGACCCTTCTGAAACAATGATTCAGAAAGGTGTATCTAGATGCTATTAAGTTTAGGTAATGATCTTCGCATTCCCAATTAAGGACACCTTAGAGAATATGATCTGAAAGATTGAGTCATCCAAGGACATAAAGATACTAGTCATCCACTATTTGCTATATACTGTTCCATATCTAACTCATATAAGGCAGAACATCAGCTCTGCTCTATCATTGTAGCATCCATAAAGATTTTTAAACCTACTGAGTCAAAAAGGTGTACCTAGATGCCTATTCTGCGTTTTTTTTTTTTTTTTTAACTTATCTAAATTGGATGGATGATAAATATATTTACACAGGAAGCATTAAAAAAGGATATAAAAGAGAGAGAGAGACAGAGAACACGCATATACACAGATTTAGTCATTTATACCCATTCCTATTTCCAATTACTCTTAAAAGGAGCAGAAACTGAATGTGATGTTGAGGAGCCTTTGGCTAAGACAAGACTCGTGACATTGTTGTTCAGTACATTACATGATAATATCAATGTTGCCATCCAATAAATTCATTATAGAAAAAACTATTTAATTGAGCTTATATAATACAACACTGACTATGTAAATTAGAAGTTGGCGCCAAACAATAAGCATTCAAAAAACTCTACAAAGAGTCAAGCTTGCCGTGCAAAAGGAAAGCTATCTCCGCTCATGGTTTCTCCTTGAACCTGATGTTGACCTCCCAGAGCTTCTAGATTTTGCATCTTTATACATATCTTCATCTTGCTTTAGTGTTGACTTTTGCTTGTGCAGCATATCGGCGCCACAAAGCCTCCCTTTCCTTTCTTGGCATCTTGTTATACCCAGGATCAGGCTTCAGAAGACGTTTAGCTGTTGACCATGAATTAAATACTGTTTTTCCGTCTTCTGTTTCTTGGGCAGCTGCTTTTGTAGTTATGACTTCAGCTAAGAGAGCTCTCAAGTCTTGAACACATCGCTAAAGAGAAGCCAAAAGCACCCATTTACGTCAGAGTGATATTTTATACTCTTAACGGCAATAATTTATGAATTCTTAAATGAGTAATGCTAACCCTACTCACTTTTGCTAAAATCATTTTAATAAAAATGAATAAGAGAAGTGAATAGGAAAAGTGAGTAAGACTAGCATTATTCTTCTTAAACTATAGATAAAACAAATCAATTCAAAAAATTGTCCTATTGAAGAGAGAAATACTAGACATCACAAGTAGCATCCCGAATGTGTACGATGTGTTGATAAGGTAAGTACATCATAATGCCACATAGGGTTGATATATCACTTAAGATAAAAATTCATTAAAAACTTATCAGAATGTAATACATTAGTATGATGAAGAAGAATATTAGACTTTTATGGTGTATTCCAAGTTCCCATTCTTCTCTTCTCAACAAACAAAACATTAGGCATTTCAAGTGCAGTACTTTTTTTTTTTTCCTTCAGCAATTCATCACATAGAAATATTTGGTCATTTTTTTACTTTTCCATCACTCTCAAGGTGTTGGCAAGATAAAAAACCTATCACACACAAAATATTAGAGACACCGTCATTCCAATATAGAAAATTATAGAAGTTATTCATCTCCCAAGGATGACACACAACACCAGGGTTAATAAGATATCAAATCTAATGCTTTCAGTGGGTCACCTAAAAATCTAAACAAACTAAATGAGGATGTACAATTCAACCAATAATCTGGAATCTTCTTTGGGGCAGAATATGAATTTATCTGTTTCCAATATGACATGACTTTACAACCAATTCTGTGGACTGATCCATGTGTAGTTAAATCTTTTAAGTAAAGCCAAAAACAAACCACAAATCATCAGCAATATATTGGTAGTTACCAAGAGATTGCAACATGCTCTTAAGGAGTCATTTAAATTATATATAGCAGCCCTGTGGAATTTGGAGGGAAAAAAGAAATTATCAGATACATTACTGTCAATTGCATTTAGGTTTTGGTCAAAAGAAAATATCGATTATTTTTTGGTAAATCACTCATTCTTTTTTGGAAAAAAGTTTCCATAGTCAAAACATGTATCATGGTGATAACAAAATCACAATCATGATAATGGAAATAGTGGTACAATATGCAGAGGGGAGAGGCATCAATTAAGAACCTTAAACACCATTCATCATAGAAACTAGGGAAATTACTTGTCAAGAACTAAATTTTAGAACTCTTACCATTTCTAACAGATTAAGTAACAAAATCACATATACTTATTCTATGCTTATCCCTCAAACCCAAACAACTAGGGGAGACAAAAACACAATCAACAACTTTTCTTATTTAAAACTCATGGTATGCCCATCCAAGGAAGAAAAAAGTGTGAATTAACAAACCAGTTTTATGGCTATGATGGATCAACAAATGATTCATCACTCCTGGTTACAGGAGATATTATTTCGGTGAGATATTTGGTTAGTAACTACGACCGCAAATCTGTAGCCATAGTGGAATCGAGTTCATGCTTGAATTCAATTTCACATAGTCGTAGATTCGACAACCAAATATATGCATATCAAGGTATATTGTTTGAAGTTGACACTATTTCTATACTTCAAACATTGATGAGATAAGAGATGATGAACGAATTGAATTGCACGGTAACTAGACCTGGCAAAACGAGTTCAGACCTGCGGGTCGGCCCGTACCCGGGTAAAAAATATAGGGTATGGGTTCAATATATCAAACCCATTTTTTTGAGACCCGTACCCGGTCCAATAACTCACGAGTTAGATGGGTGCACCCGCGGGCACCCGTATTTGCAAATCTGAAAACTGAAATGAATCCCCAAAACGCAAAACCCCTAATTTTATCACGCCTCTCGTCTCAATCTCTCAGCCTCTCAATCTCTCATCAGTCATCATCTTTGCCATACTCTTCGTACCTCAAGTTCAACTCCCTCTTCGATTAATCGTCAGTTCGTCACTCGTCACTCATCCAGTCCGTCATTCCCATTCCCAGTACCACAGTCGCCGGTCGCCATCACTCATCCTCGTCGGCTGGTATTATATTTACTTGTTTGTTTGCTGGCTTTTAGATTTGAATCTTTTTATATTTACTTGTTTGTTTGCTGGCTTTTAGATTTGAATCTTTTTAACCCTAAAATTTCTCAATTCTAGACTGTAAAACCACTGCTAACATATTAGATTCAGATATCAGTAAAGTTGAAATAAATTATTATTTATTTTATTAATCAGAAAATCTTTACATAACACGGCATTTTCTTATTTGTTGTTTGATTGATGAAGCTTATTCTTCTTGTTCTTAATATTAATTTTGGTGGGAAGTGCGGTTAGTTTGGATTAGAAAATGATTTAACTTTGGTCAATTTATTGGGCTCTTTGGCTTTGTTAATTATAGTTGAACATCAAAGCAGAACCGTATAGTTATTGGTGGTTTAATATGTGGAAAAGGAAGAGTTGGAAGAAGATTCAAGTGATTTTTAGAAAGAAAAAGTTGTCACAGATTTTAAGGTTCAGAGACTTTATAATAAGTTTGCTGCTGGTAATGGTGTGAAGAAGTTGCAAATTTTCAAAGCAGAGATTCTTTAGCTTATAGTAAAATGAAAAGGGTTTAAAGGAAGCTTGGTGTTTGTAGCTCATTGGTTGTCAAAAGAAGGAAAGAATATTGATCTTTTTGTTTTCTTTTTTGTTTGAATGGTTAATGTAGGTTACTGCATTTTGTATTTTAATTTTTGTTTGTGAGATTAACATTGTTGCTTGTATTTCATTTCAGAATTCAGTTAACAGGGGAAGTGTATTTAAATTTCTCTTATATATGCCAGATTGATCCAAGCACTCTTGGTGGACTCGTGGTAGAGTTTGGGCAAATGATGTTTGACATGTCCATTAAGACTAGGGCACGACAAATGGAGAGGTTCCTGCGTGAACCTGCTAACTTTGGCATCATCTAAGGCGCCAGTCACCCAAGCCCTAGATTTTCAAGTTACTTCTGCATAATTTGGGATGCTCCAACAAGAAAAACAAGTATTTATATGCTTGTTTGATTCTGTTTGATCATGCTCTGCCTTTCATAGGATGGAATGCATCCATTGGAAAATAAAAGTTGCTTTTGCCTTTCACATTGCTTTAAAGCAAAAACAACTATTAGACCTTAACTTTTCTTTTTGTGGTTCTCCGTTTACTGATACCATTTGTGATCATAATTTGTTCAAATACTCTTTCTTGCACATGAACAAAATCCTGTACATGGTTTGCATTCTTTCTTTCGGACTTTAAGAGCGGATGCTTATACGCTGACTTGCTGGTTTGAGATAGATGTTGCTGCTCGCTCTCAGCTCAATAGGTGTTAATTAATGGCGAATTCGCATGTAATCAAATCAATGCACCTGTGAGTAATCACTTTGCTACCAAGCCAGAGATGGGAATATTGGAGCCTTGCAAGAATATTTCTTGATGGCATTAACATAAATGGTTTATCTGCACAATGCAATGGGAATGTGTTATTGTTTGTTTATGTGTTATTTGTTTACTTTGGTTCCTATTTGTTTATATTCTTAATTGAATTGAATTTAGAATAGTTGATTTAGGGGGTGTAAATGTAAAAAAATAAAACTGCAGGAATTTTGGGGGTGTAATTATCATAATTGAAAACTGTTAGAGGTGAAACTGTAAAAACTAAAATCTGGAGAGAGAAAAAACGGGTCCACCTGTACCCGTATAGGGTAGGGCACGGGTCCAATATTTTAGACCCGTATATATCGACCCGTATAAGGGCCTGTAACCGTTTAATCCGGCCCACCCACCCGTTTTGCCAGGTCTAACGGTAACCATACTATAGAAAAGGTAGCAACTTCGTTGAATCTTTATTTGCTAAATAATCATGATGCCTTACTAGAGGCTAATCTTGATTGGTGTACGGAACACTAATTAGTTGATGCTTAATTAGTTATTAAGACATTGCCAACAAAATAAAGAGCCTTCATGTCACACACATTAAAAGTAGTTTAAGAAGAGAAAAATGAAGCGAAGGCTAATTTCCTCTTTGGACCAAAAGGGTATTTGGATAATTTTGCTGTGAGATTAAATTCGCTAAAAGGTCATTACCATTATTCAATATTTATATTGAAGTTAATTTAGCAAAATTGTACCTATATTAATATTAAATAAAACATTAATATTAATATGAAATAAATATATTTAATTAATTAAATATATTAAAACCCATTAATTAAATATATATATATATGTGTGTGTATTAATTAAATAAATAGTAATATTTATTGAATTAGAATTATATATTTAATTAGGGAATATCCTATTCTAAAATAGGAATTGAGATATTCCAATCCTAGTGGGAGTGTATCCTAATCCAAAATAGGAATTGGGATACTCCAATTCCTAGTGGAAGTGTAATTAGGGTTACACTACATAAAGGAAAAAGAGTTTAGAAAAACTAAAATAGCCTCCTCCCAAAAACCATTAATCCGCCACGCCAACCCCTTTTAGTGAGAGAGAGATTTTGTTCTCTCAAATTTTTGTGGCCTTCCTTAAGCAATTGAATTGATCTAGCAGTATTCGATTGTGATCCCATCTTGCTTTTGTGTGGATACTGCAGTGTTCAATTCTACTTTGAATCAATAACGAAATCAGAGTTTTAATCCAGAGAAGGAGCCACCAACGAAGGTATTAAACACATTCTAACCTAGCATGTTAATATTGTGATTGCAAATATGAATCCTGATCTTGGGATTGGGTTTTTATTGAATAAATTTTTTAAATATTCTGCGCTTTGTTCCAATAAAATCCCTCCACAACAAAGAGAGCTTTTGGAAGTGGAAACTTACATTCTAAACTATTGTTCTGCTATCATCCCATCGCTCATTTCAATCCTAGGTTTAAAAGGATGATAATTCAAAACATAAGACTACCAAGAGATTAATATTTAAGGAGTGAGCCACTTAAGCAAAAATAATTTAGCAAATTAAAATTTTGGTGACAAATAATTGGACTCTCTAAATCAAGTAAACTTCTCTAAAGTCTATAGCTACTTCAATATCAACAACCTGAGTCTATCTTGTTCCTATAACTGACCCATCTCCTGCCCTATGTTTGAAAAAATAAAAGCTGTGCTTTACTAAGAAAGGAAAATGCACCAGAAGATGCATGTTTCCAATAGTCCATACTTTTACCACAGCCTGAGATGATAAAAGAAGCCTTCTTACAAACATTAAATAAACAATTTAGTGTAGAAGAAAAGACAAATCACATATCGGATCTAGTGAGATAAGAGACCCTGTACTCAATTACCTGTTGATATAAAAAAAAAAGGATTAAAAGCAGTCATAAAATCACTAAAATAGCCCTAAATATAATGTCCATAATTTTGTATTCATTGTTTCCAACAATCACCAAACTTAATTTCTTTCATTTACCAAAAAAAAAATCACCCACAAAAAAGAAAAAAATTGATAAAGAATTATCAAATTAATCCCCCTAAAAAAAAAAAAAAAAAAAAATTTACTGACATAACACCTTGGGAAATTTATAATTATATTTTAATAGTTTTTCTCAGAACGTCCATTTCCAGATCTTGATTCTCCAGTCAACCTTACACTTGGCGTTGGACGTCGATGCCGTGGTCGCCGTCTTCCCCGTCGGAACCGTCGCTCTGATGCCGTCACACGAAACCCTAATCCGGACTTTGGGAGACTTGATTGCTCCCATCTTGACTTTCATCTTCGTCTCCAACTTTATCTTCAACGGCAGGCCACTCTTGCTCTTCATTTCACTCTTTATCTTACTGGCGGAGGCGTCGTCAAGCGCTTGACTGTTCCCTTTTATGCTCGTTTTCAGCAGCGTCGTGTTCTTCGTCCCATGCACGAAGGCGGGAAACGAACCGCTGCCAATGGCGATCTCGTCGTCGTTCGTGAGGAGCGAGATACTGATGGGATCGTAGTAATAAACGAGTTCTTTGTTCGGGTTCTTCGCCGTGACGTTTAAATTGATGTTGGTGACGAGGGTGGACGACGAAGTGAGGTTTAGGGTTGTGATTTTGAGGGAGGAGACGGAGAAGGAGGGGCGGTGAGGGCGGTAGAGGACGTAAATGATAGCGCCAGCGATGGCGACAAGGAAGACAAGGAAGATGATGGTGAGAGTGATCCAAAGACAGCAGGAACAACAGCAGGAACGGCGGTAACGGTGGCGGCGAGGCGTCGGGCGGTAGGTGGGACGGTTGGCGCCGTATAGTTGAGATTTTGTAGCAGGGAAAGCAGGGTTTGCGCCGTTTATGTTTTGTTTTGCGGATGGATAGACTCTGTCCGCCATTTTTGGTTCAAAAGAAAGCTTGTGAAACACAGAGAATTGAGAGATTGAAGACAGTCTCTGTATTTGGTTTAAAATGAAGAGTTGAAGGGGCTAAAACAAGAAGAGAATTGAAGAATAAGAACTTCAGTTTTGGAAAGAGAAGATCTGTTATGGAAATGGAATTAAGTTTAAAAGAAAACTGAGAGCGTTATCTTCTTCCTCTTTGTGAGTGAGAATCGAAGACAACAACATTATAACTAACTAATAAACCCAATAATTTGTTGTCTACGCGTTTAGTATATCCTCTTCTATTACCACCGTCTTTTAATTTTCAATAAGATTTATTATATATTTTTTAATTACCAATCACAGATATTTAAAACTGTGGGTAAAATTTTATATCAGAAACTTTGTCTACATTATAATAATAATTAGGGAGAACGACNTGGAAATGGAATTAAGTTTAAAAGAAAACTGAGAGCGTTATCTTCTTCGTCTTTGTGAGTGAGAATCGAAGACAACAACATTATAACTAACTAATAAACCCAATAATTTGTTGTCTACGCGTTTAGTATATCCTCTTCTATTACCACCATCTTTTAATTTTCAATAAGAATTATTATATATTTTTAAATACCAATCACAGATATTTAAAACTGTGGGTAAAATTTTATATCAGAAACTTTGTCTACATTATAATAATAATTAGAGAGAATGACATTTTCCCACCCAAGGCTTGGCGAAATGACACTTTCCCACCCGACAAGTTTCAAAATGACACTTTCCCACTTTTCGTTAGGTTATGTTAGCGTGTTCTATTATTTAATTAATTAGGAATATTTTGATTTTCTATGTTAATTAGTAAAAATGAAAAACATTATAAATTTAGTAGATTATTGAATAATAGTGATGAGATATTGATGACATTATAAATAAATAAATATTAAAGTCATTTAACTTTAAACAATTACATAGTATTACTCCTAATTTTTTAAGTGGGGGTTAACTATTTTTTATTTTTTTACTTTTTAATATTTGACTTTTTAGCTAAATAAAAAATAATAAAAATTTATAAAGTCATATATTTAAGAGTGTTTTCATCTTTTCAATAAAATATTAACAGAAAACATAACATAACCTAACGAAAGGTGAAAAAATGTCATTTTGTCAAACCTTGGGTGGGAAAATGTCATTTTCCCTAATTATTACTATTATAAATTAAGTTTTGACCCAATTGTGCAAATCTAAGTTTTGACCCAATTGTGCATACATCCAAATGAGAAGATTACCTTATTTTGTCTAGTGGAATTATTACATTTGTTCAGAGATGGTTCTTTCGACTTAGGGTTTTGTCTAAATTAACCAATTTGTGGGTAGCCTAGATGGTTAAAATAATTTGGGGATATATGGATAGATACATGGTCTTACGTTTGACTTTCTATTTGAGCATCCCCAATTTAAGTGGGAGGCCGTGGCGACGGATTGCTGTATTAGTCTCCCTTAAGGATTAATCGTGGTGGTCTGAGGGTTGTGGTGGTGGCCGGTGGGTTGTATGCTAGTTTGCATTAACATATGCGTATCTCAACTAATCTTCGGGAGAAACTAGTGCAACAATCCATTGCCACGACTCCCCACTTAAATCGTGGATGTTTTGATAGGGAATCGAACCTGAAACTATACGTCTATCTATACTGATATACATATTTATACATATGTGATGACTTTCTAAAGTTTAACCGAAGTTCTGTGAATTTAGAAATACATATAGTAAACAATCAAGAACATGAAATATAGTTTTATTCCTTAAAAAATATTTTTGAAATACTTTATTCAAATAGTTAATTTTAGAATAGTATGTTTTATTTGAAATTTCATTTAATAATTTCTAAAATTAATTTTATCAGTTTGTATATAAATAGAAAATAATAAAGACAATAATTCTCTTACTATAAAAGAATGATATCCCACAACAAAATGAACCATACTATACTTACTCACCATCTTACTAACCATCTTACTATCCTTTGTAAATATAACGCATAGTACTGGTACTATACGCATAGTACGGGTACCATGTAAAATTTTAACAAAGGTTGTATGGCAATTAGTACAAGTGGTGAGTAAGCATAGTGTTTTTCCAACAAAATTTCACATTATATAAAGTTATAATTTATAAACCTTTTTTGTTAAAAAAACAAAAGGGAAGTGAGCCAAACGCGCGTTAAGTGAGAGTGAAAGTACTATTTGACAACTAGCTTAGATGTCTCCATATCACCCACTTTGGACCCTCTCGCCATCAAACACGTGTTAGTGATGTTCAATTATTAAGTGAAGGCCCACAGTTTCCCACTTTGATCACCTCAGTCAGAGCAAGATGGCCTCAATCTAACGGTCATTATTCGTCTTGTAAATAGTTGGCGTATCACCATATAAAATAGCCTTAATAGAGAAATCAAGAAACACCCCAACTCTTATCCATTTGACATTTTGTCAATCATTGACAGCAAGAAAATAAAAGAAAACAGCAAATTGATTCTTCACCTAATTAATTTCTTAATTAGGGTTTTGCGCTAATCCCAAATCATTTCTTACTTAATCTCCGCAGAATCAATGATAAAAGCAACCCACCACCTAAATCAAAGATGCTCAGATGAGAAATCGAACTTGAAACTATGTGTTTATAAATTATAGGTTACCCATGTATGAGTTTCTAAATTAGTTTTCGGAAGTAGAAAATAACGACTGATTTTCAACAACATAATTAAACTTTTGACTTATAATTCAATAATTAATAAGCTAATCATAATAATTTATTATTAAATATTGAATTTATTAGATGGGTTGAGTTTTTTTAATCAAATGACCAAAACCTCCCAACTTCCAAGGTAGATTATGAAATCTCATGTGTTAAAAAGAAGTTTCAACTAATTTTGACTTTAATTCTACTTAAAGATAATTAGTTCTATAATTTTAAGGGTGGATGTTGGTTGGTTGAAAAATCAACAACAAATTTTATTATAATTTTGGTTTCATTTGATTTGATATTACTGAAGTTGCAAAATAAAATTATTCTTCTAAAAATAAAAAATAAAAATCAAACAATATTAAACAAAAATGAACTATTAACCACCTTTTTTTATTTTTTTTTAATAAATTTAAGATATGAGTTTTTTTTTTTTTTCCCTAATATTTTGTTCATCGAAATGAAGAGAAAAGTCAACCGTGTTGAAAAAGTATAGGCCCAAAGGGCCCACTCTTTAGGAAACAAGAGTGGGCTTTATATTTTATGCCCCTTCCTTATGTTGGAGTAGGCCCAAACATGGCATCATGGGCTGGGCCTACAAAAATATAATATATTACATGAAGATAAAACCTGAATAAATAAATAAATAAAATTTGAACATATAATAATGAGAGAATTATAAATTCACAAAAGTTGTACTAAAATATTGAATATCATTGCAAGCAACCCATCCGTGGCCCGTGGGTAGTTAAAATAATTAGGGCGAATTGAAGATAGTGTGGATATGTGTATGGTCTCAGATTCGATTCCCCATCCTCGTAGCAGTGGGTTGCTGTGCTAGTCTACCTCGAGGATTAGTTGAGGGGTGACTGTGCTAGTCTTCTTCGAGAATTATTTGAGGGGTGATTGTGCTAGTCTTTCCCAAGGATTAGTCGAGGTGCACTAAAAATCATTTAGTGCAACCAATGCCATCCTTAATTCACATAACATAAATGGATTAATCTATAATTTTATGATTTATAATAATGAGAAAAAAATTAACAATAAATATGTGCTTTGTTAGGTGTGTAATATGCACATTGCAATAATAAGGTTAGGTTATGATATTGTTCAATTTATTGCTATCTATTTGTAGGGACTAATTATTAGTTAGCTCTATTATTTTCTATCTTTAATGACCCATCTATTTGAGTACTCTTGTAATTACACCAACATAGAGATAATAATTATTATAATCTTACAATCTTGAAATTTATATTAAAATTGATATATCTCTTATTAACTCTTAACATTATTTTGATAACGTACAATATCACTAGGGATTAGCAATTTTTTCCATGAAGATAGATGTTCGTTTGTCCCCGCTCCATTTGAGTAGGAGATTAAGTTAAAATTTTAGGGGAAAGGGAGAAGAATGGGGATGAAAACCCGTCTCCAAATTGATTTTGATATTCCCACCGTGCCCTATCCCCGAAATTTGAGGATGAGGATGTCATTATCTTCTCGGGATGGATCCCCGCCCCTCCCCAACCCGTTTGCCATCCTAAATATCATTATAACTTTAACTCCTTCAAATACATATTCTTAAATTTATCTTTTAACTTCGCCATTCACCCTTCTCGTTTGATGAACTTTACCATCAACGTCGCATATGATATTTCCTTAACTTTGCCCGGAATTAATATTCTAGGTTAAATTTATATCAACATTATAAAGGGAAAAAATGAAAGGGTATGGACCATCTAATCTAGGCTCGAAATAAGGGAAGGGCCCTACAAATTAAAGGTAGGGAAGAGTAAAGAATAAATAGATAAAATGATAGAAGAAGGGGCAATTGCTAATCAAATTCACCGACAATTCTAATGTTTAATTGGTGAATGATTAATCGGTGGCAGGTTGAGGAGATAATTATATTATTACTTTAGCCTAAAATCATTGTCATTTTATTACAAATACCAAACTCTTTCATTGAATTGTCTTTTATGGGGAAAATATCTCAACCTTAAGTTGTCTTAGATTGTCCACAATAATATCTTGTCCCAATATCATATTATATTCAAATCGTAATGAAATTGGTTGGTACATATGGAAATCATCTTTTCATTTTCTTCTTTAGATGGGAATATTTAATATCCATTTTTAATGAATTTGGTTGATGAAAAAGGGGTGTCTAGACCAGTTTGTTCATACCTAAATTAATTCTCGAGATCCGTTGAATATCTTACAAGTTTAATGGATCAGGTAAGTGACAAATATGGTAGAGATGACTTTGTGAGATTTGAACACAAAACCTCTGAATAATTCACTCAGATAACTAAAGTCTTGTCGTTCGGCTACCAGCTAGTGGTTGTGTTTCACCATTTCTTGTACAGGAAAGTGATTTATGATAAATTTCAGAGAAATTTATGATGAATTACAAGAAAAATGTATGTGATAGTTTAAGATTAGAAATGCTTTGATAATTCAGGTAACATTAGATGATTTGTAAAGTTATTTCCATGAATGTGAAGTGCCGTGAAAAATGAAAAACATAATATAAGAGTGTGCCGAAAAGAAAGATTGAAGAAAAAGCCAATTAGGTGAGGGTCCATGATGACAATAATCTCCTAAACATGATAATTGGATGTGGACTTTTGTCAGAATAGTGGTCAAGCAAAGCAAAGAAAAGCCAAAGCATTTGAATACAGGCAAAAAACCATAAACAAATCCTTAAAATTTCAAACTTTGAAGTTTGAACACAATTATGTGATATCACAACTACCCTTATGACAATCCAGAAATCTGCTGACATTACAAGCCTAAACCCACATTTCAATCCTTCATTAAACAATCTAAAGTTCCATAAATTTTCAACCAAGATTCCATAACAATAATTCTTTTAGCATATATGATCTTTCTTCTGTCAGCCCCACCAAACCACCAACCATTGCTGCTCAAAAGTGTCCAATGTCCTTCTTACTTAGTTCTTCTTTATAGTCTACTGTTTTGCTTTTTCTTTGATCAGTTTTAGCTTCTGTTGTAACTTTAAGCACCAATGGCAGCAAAAGAAAGTGGGTATTGTGTTAGATTTTGGTTAAAGATTGTGTTTTTGAATGCTTCATGTGGAGAAAAGAGATGAAAATTGGTTTCTTTATTAGCTACCCAACAAAGGTTTTACAACTGAGCTGCATGACTTCTTGTTACTTTTGTGATACTATTTGTGGGGTTCTTCTTCCTTTTGTGAACTGTTTAGTTTTGTTTCTTACTTTAAGTTATGCCCATGTTTTTGCTTCAGGTTGTTGTTTCATTTTTCAGTACTCTCTATTCACCTTCTGCTCCTTGCTTTGATGTTTGACTGAGAAATCAGAGATCTTGAAATGGGGTTGCAGTTGGCTCTCCTGTTGATAGAAATTTCTGTAATTTTCATTGCTTTCTCAGTTCATGGATCTGCAGGTAATGAGGTTTGGTTTTTGGTGTTTTCAGTTGGTTTCTATATTGAATTGTGTTTGCTCCCTGTACTTTTGCTTGTTGAATACAAGTGAATTTTCTTGAAATTTGAAGATCTTGTAACCAAGAAATTGGGAAAAACTTTAGTTGTATGAAATTATATGTTTGAAGCTACTTTGTTCTTAGTTGAGAGTGATACATTTTGAGTGAGCTGGCTCAGAAGTTGACCCAGTGAAGAATCTGCACCTCATGATCTCTTAATTAAAATGTTCTAGAATTTCAAAGAGTAAACTGAAGTTGGTTTCTTGAAACTTCCATTTTTGATCTGTTGAGTTTCATTCTGCATAAAATTCCAAGTTGCAATGTTTATTTCTGTGTAATTCCAGAAAGTACTTAATATGCTTTTATGGCTATGTTTTTGTTTGTTTCATGAGTAAGTAATTTTGATAATGATGGGTCTGTGGTCCTAAAACTGACAAGAATGCCATAGACTTCCATGACTAATTGTTCATAGTTTTATGATCGACTTTTTTTTTTCTTCTCCGGAACTGACATTAAATTCTTAATTTTCAAGTTCAATGTGTTGATTAAATGACACTGTATCTCTGGTTTGCCCTTTTCCTTTCATGGGTTAGATTGACTTAATAAAGATTTATGTTTCAATAGCCTTTAATCTCTTTCCCAGAACATGAATTTTCAGTTTTTTACCATGGAGATTTTCGCTTAGCGTCTCTAATTCTGCGGCTACTGATGCAGTAACATTTGCATTACCACCAAGGAGATTGCCACAAAACCCATTTCCTGTCCACTCTGTCAGGCCAGGCCAAGCGCCATCCACATTACCAGGTGAACCTTACATTGTTGACCATAGTTCAATTGTTGGATTTCTTGCTGCGAAGTTCTAATCAACCCAACAAATTTATTTTCCGAAAGCTCCTATTGCTGGCATATACTGATCCCTTTGAAATGAAAATTGGGTGTAAATACTTGAGTGACCATGATGCTTTATCAATTCTTTGTTGCTAAATCTTACAAAATTGGCAAAAGGGATGTACTTTATTTTTGTATCCTCACCTTCATAATTTATGAACTCATTTTTGTTTGGTTCTGGTTTTCATGACGCCACAGACCGCACTTTCCCTCCAACGGTTAGTCCTCCCAGTTACGGAAGGAAAAGACATGGAGAGCTACATGCTCCATCTAACAAAGCATCTCACATTTCGTCACCTGTGGACTATTCTCCAACTAAAGGTAAATTGGAAACCTCAGTGTAGGAATTTATGTTTGCTAAGTTACATGTTAAGCTTATATATCCTGCCCGACTGTGAACAATTAACAATTTATTAATTCATGTTGTAGCTGGCCATTCACATCATGCTGTAAGACCTTCAAGTATTGCTCTTGCGCCATCGATGAGATCTTTTAGAGGTCCTGCAAAGAAATGGTTGCGTGGCCCTGCTTCTGCTCCTTTAATCTCATTTCATAAACATCATCATGCAAAGAACAAATCAAGACACTTCACTTCTGGACCGTCTTATTTGATTCCTTCTCCCTCTAACAGATGGCGAGGTATGATCATCTCCTATGGAATTACCTCAATAAATAATGTTACATAACACTATTCTGAAGAGTGATTTCACAAAATATATATTTATACTTACCATGAGGAAATAATGATATGTGCAGGTCCTTCAATCTCCCCATTTCGTTCTCCCTTTGCATTGGCACCAAGTTGGAGTTCACATGCCCCAGCAGCATCAGAGATAAGTCCATCAGGCCACTTTAATAGTATGGGAAAACTGACTTTTTCTTCGGTTAAATCTTGGAGCTTCATTTATAGTGATTATTGATGACTACAATGTTTGATCGTGCTTTGTTTCTATTACAAGTGCCCTTTCTTCAGCCTATGATTTCTCCTATGAGTTCCTTCTACAAGAAGAAGAAGGCTCCACCACCATCTATGGTTATGACTCTACCACCTCCTCCTCCAAATGGAGGTACATATATACTTTTCTTTCTACTGGAAATTTGACTGGCATGTTGATTAGTTTTGGTAAAAATCCTAGTTGGTTTTACTTGCAGATTGTGCCACGGTAACATGCACGGAGCCACTGACCTACACACCACCTGGGTCAGCCTGTGGTTGTGTGTGGCCAATTCAAGTTAAGCTTCGTCTCGGCGTTGCAATATACACGTTCTTCCCTCTGGTTTCAAAACTGGCAGAGGAAATTGCGGCTAGTGTTGGATTAAATCATAGCCAAGTTCGGATTATGGGAGCAGATGAAGCTAGTCAGCAGTTGGAGACAAGCACAGTCCTCATCAATCTAGTTCCACGGGGAGTAAAATTTAAGGATACTACTGCTTTTTCAATCTACAGAAAGTTTTGGAAGAGACAGATGTCCATAAAAGCTTCCTTATTTGGTCCCTATGAAGTATTATACGTTCGATATCCAGGTTATATATATGTTGATCCTGCTACTTTATATTTTTTCACATTAATAAGGCTGCTGACGTTGGCTTTATGGGAGTTATTTCTTGGTTCTTTTGTAAAATCAGGTACTCTGTTTGGAATTTAAAACTTTTATTTTCAACTCTGCAGGTCTTCCACCCTCCCCACCTTTAGCACATTCGGGCAGTTCTACTACGGACGATGGACCATATGCTGTGGGGATTAACAGTGGACAAGCAATAAAACCATTAGGAGTTGATGTCCCTAGGAGGAAAAGAGGTGGGCTTAGCAGAAGCATGATTGTTGTAATTGTTGTATCGTCTTTCACAGCCTTTGTTTTATGCTGTGGAGTAGCTTGGCTTTTCGTATTGAAATGTGGAGCATCCAGACAAAATCCACATGCTTTCATAGCCTCCCCTTCAAAACCATCAGGTACCATTGTGATTCAATTTTCCAGTAATTTTGAAGATTCAGTACTACTTATTTATTTATTGAACACTAAACTTCCATTAAATCAATGTTTGATTTGTTTTCTAAAATATGCTGAACCTGTATTGGCAAAATTTTACAATGATCAACCCTCAATTCCAGTTTTTCGTGGTTGCATTTTTTGTTCTGTTGATCTTTGGGGGTCACTTTCATTGATGGTTTATTTTTTAGTACATGATGAAATCCAAATTGTGCAGGGGCTCCTAAGTCTAGGAAATATCGAAGCATGCTCAGCTCTTCATCAATGTCCTTTGATTCAAGTACAATGACATACACAGGATCTGCTAAGACCTTCAGTTCGAATGATATGGAGAGAGCTACCGATTGTTTTGACACTTCAAGAATACTTGGAGAAGGAGGTTTTGGGGTTGTATATAGAGGCATTTTAGATGATGGAAGAGAGGTGGCTGTGAAGGTTCTTAAGAGAGATGATCAGCATGGAGGCCGAGAGTTCCTGGCAGAAATCGAGATGCTTGGCCGGCTGCACCACAGAAATCTGGTTAAACTTATTGGTATATGCACAGAGGACCATACCCGGTGCCTAGTCTATGAACTGGTTCACAATGGAAGTGTTGAATCTCATTTACATGGTGGGTAGAAGTTCAAGATGATTCTTCCACTTATTTCTCTTTAATTAATTGAAGTGTTACATACTAGTTTGTGGGTTAACTTTAATTTTCTGAAAAGAGCTTTTGCATGTGTTCTTCCTGTATGCTCTCAGGAGTTGACAAGGTAAACGGTCAACTTGATTGGGATGCCCGAATGAAGATTGCCCTTGGCGCAGCTAGAGGCTTAGCCTACTTGCATGAAGACTCAAGCCCTCGTGTTATACATCGAGACTTCAAATCCAGCAACATCTTGTTGGAACATGATTTTACACCTAAAGTTTCAGATTTTGGATTGGCTAGAGCAGCATTGGATGAGGGAAACAAACACATCTCAACACATGTTATGGGAACTTTTGGGTATGGACTCCTCCATTATATTTGATAATATTTTCTTCATATCTGATTGAAATATTCTTTAATAATGGAAGTTTGATGTATCTGCTGGACTTCTTGATATGCAGTTACCTCGCTCCGGAGTATGCAATGACCGGTCATCTTCTAGTAAAAAGTGATGTTTATAGCTATGGTGTAGTCCTCCTTGAACTGCTTACAGGAAGGAAGCCTGTGGATTTGTCACAGCCGCCAGGTCAAGAAAATCTCGTTGCATGGGCTCGTCCGCTTCTAACAAGTAAGGAGGGTCTAGAAGTAATCATCGATCCATTTATAAAGTCTGATATCTCATATGATAGCATAGCCAAAGTAGCGGCAATTGCATCCATGTGTGTGCAGCCCGAAGTATCTCATAGGCCATTTATGGGTGAAGTTGTTCAAGCATTGAAACTAGTGTGTAGCGAATACGATGAAACAAAGGAGATAGAATCAAAAGGTCTCGGCGAGGACTTCTCTGTCAATGTAGATAGTAAGATCAATAGACTTTCAGGTCAGCCGTCTGAAGTTTCAGAGGTCTGTCATGCGACCTCTGGCTTTGGAAGTAGTCATGACAACAATGTAGCATTATCAGCGTCAGATTTGCTGAGTATGCCATTGGGACCTGAGCGACAGGACTCTGGATCTTTTAGGATTTACTCTACTTCAGGGCCTCTAAGAACATCAAGAAGAAGGCATTTCTGGCAAAGATTAAAAAGTTTATCCAGAGGCAGCATGAGCGAGCACGGATTTTCAGCCAAATTTTTTCCGGGATCCCGTTAAATTTTGTCGAAATCTCCAGAAGAAAATTAGAATTTACTTTTACAAGAATCTTGTGCGATGCTTATATAGACTTTGACTTCAAAATTTTCACAAGTGGCTTCTGTTCACTCAAACCAGTAATGAAGTGATCAAAATGTGAAGCACAAGATGCAGTGGGAACTGGGAAGGTCTTGTGAGATCTTTCTAAAAGTTATAATTTTTTGAGGTGGTCTGGTTTTTAGCAAAACAACACTCTAGTTTCTTTTTGGTCATTTCTAGAGTTGCTTCATCAATAATTTATGATATTCCTCTGTAAAAATACATTGCTTCCTACCGTAAACAGACACAATGCCTATGGTATGCAGTATATGAGAAAATATATCGAGTTTCAGCTCTTATGTTGCTAATTGATTTTACTTTAGCATTGTAATTGAAAATTTTGGAGTTCATGAATGTTATATAACATCTCCCCATGTATAATTTCATCCTAAAAATCATTGACAAAGAGTTTCCTACGCCAAGATATGACCATCGTTGGTGACCATATCTGACCTTTTTCGATCATATCTATGATGGATTTGATTGGAAAAGGCTATATCAGTTCACAACCAGTCAGATCCAATCGGTTGTGCGTCATTACGGCGACCTCCAGCTACCCTTTAACGGTGGTGTCCGGTTGCCGACATTTAATGGGTGGATGGAGGTGTTTTTGTTAATTTTTAATGTTTTATTGTAAAGGGTATTTAATTAAATTAACAAACATAGGGAGTGTTTTTGTTAATTTTCAAATCATACCTTATAATAACAACCAAACTCAACTTTTTCAAAAATACTACTCAAAATAAACCAAACTCAACTTTTTCAAAAATACTACTCAAAATAATAAACCAAACACAGCCATCATAATGCATTTGTTTTATTATTTTTCCCTATCCTATTCCTATCCTACTCAATACATATTTTTGCACAGATGTCTCAGTAACAAGCTTCTCAAATGCAGAGACTTTGCTACAAAGACTTGAATTCTATTTTCACAAGCAGAATAATATTATAAAGATCTAAAGCACATGTTCCCATTGCAAGCCAATTTCTACATATTACAGCCAGCTCGAAATGATAAAAATAAAAAATAAAAACAAATTGTCACTTCTAAAGCAAACATTGCTGTTCTTTTCCTTCCCAGTTGGTCTTAATCACTACACACCAGCTGTTTTTCCTAGTCTGTCTCTCAAGATCTTCACTCCCATGTACCTGCATATCACAAGAACTCAAATTTTATTGTGTTATATGTTTTTGGAAAAAATGATTTAAAAAGGTTTATTTAAACATTTGGATTATAGTGTTTACCTTCCCATCATCAGGATAGTGCCTTGAGGATTAGTGCCTGGAGATTCATTAAATGTCGAGATATCGACCACACGGAGCCTGTCGATTCCAAGAACTTTGTGGTCAGGGCTGACCACCTTGCCCACATGGCACCCTCCATGGTAGTGCCAAATTGTGATCACAGTGTCTCTGCAGAACTGCTCCAGGGACTTGGTGTCGTTGGTATGTTTAGGTATAAGATTAACATTAGCCTTGACACTTGCATTGAGTATAGACTCAACAGTTTGCTGATCGCATTTCGTGTAGTTTAAGAAATGTTGTGATTGTACAAGCTTTGCAGCCATGCGAATACCCTGAACGCAACTTTTCAGATCATCTGGATGGCTGAAGTAGTTAAAGCTAACAGATGGATTATCGTCAACATTTGTGTTGACCAAAGTAAGCTCGCCTGTTGACATGGGCTTCGCAATCTTTTCTAGAATGAAGCCTCCCTTGAATGCCTCATGGGGTAATTCTCTTTTCCTTCTGATGTAATCTTGAACGGCTTCGGGTGTTCTTTGCTTTGGAGGAATGGTTGAGAGCTGTCCAATCTGGTTATATCACAAAAATGCAGTTCATGAAACAGATATTGATTAATCGAACTCGCCAAGTTGTTGCATGCATTATTACTGTTCAGTGCTTACCTCTGCTGACATGATTCCATGGTGACAATGAATGCTATCTTTGGATTGTCCATATCCACTGCTGGCTTCAATATACACACCAAACTTGGTGATCCCCACAGTTTGAATAAGTGATTGCTCAACTGGTCTTTTAGAGGGAACAAAGACAGCGTTCATGGGATTATCAGCCATGCCTTTGCCAACAAACTCATTGTCAAGTACTATCGGAATTTTGAACTTTTCGAGTTCGGCTTTAGGTCCAACACCACTTAGCATCAGCATTTGAGGTGTCCCAAGTGCTCCAGTTGATAAAATCACTTCACTTTTTGGGTTATTTGAAACATATGCCCGATGTTGTTTACCATTTTCATCCTTGAACAGAACTCCCACTGCCTTTGGCCGCTTTCCTACAATTCAAATTACAGAACTCAATAACTAAGCATTGACACTTTTTCTCGTCAATTCTGTCATCATGTATTGTGTTACCAACAACATAAACATACACAGTTTTCATTTGAGTAACTAGCATACCTGATGTATCGAAAAGAATCTTTTGGACTGTGGCATGGATCAAGACAGTAATTTTTTTGGGGTCTGCAGAAGCAAGTAGCTCTGCAGAGGTGTGCCGGCGACCAAACCTATCAAAAATGGTGCCACCAACCTTGGTTCCATATATATGATCATAGGTGAATCCATTAAAAGGTGACACCCCAACATCCAAAAGACTGTCCCGTAGTGCTCTCTGCCATGGTGCGAAAGTAGGCTGGTGAACTATTTGTTTCTCCACCCATGGATATGACTCATTCACTAGCTTCTCATCCCATCCCACTCTCTTAATAAACCTGCAACCCAAGAAGCTTCAACATCAATAGAAGTTCCACAAGTTTTGCATTGTTAAGGTTTCAATAGGTTATATTTTGGGCAGTGTTCTATAGTTCTGACAAAAAATAAGGCCTAATGTGACAGAAGCGGATAATAATCATATCAATAAAACTACATTTAAAATTTTTTCATATAAACTTTTTATACAACCTTGAAGTGACAGCTCACGATTGGTCAGTTTGTATTTGAGCAAATAAGACCCATTACGAGCTAACCAATCGCGTGCTGTTACACCAGGGTTGTATAAAAAGATTGTATGAAAAAATTATAAGTGTAGTACTACTCATATCATATTAGGTGAAAACGGGTCAAACTCTTTAACAACTGACAACACACACAAAATAGTTGGCACAAGAATACTTGCTTCAGATGGGTCAATGAATTATACAAGCAAGTGTAGATTTATGGCTTTAAAATATACAGCTGAAACATTGGTTGGGGAAACAGAAGTTTGGACCACAGATGGCATGTGTCGTTGCAAGCAACATTATGACAAAATTTAGATGTCTCATTAATTTTTAGATCAAACTCTCTGCTACCTAATTTTCTCAATAATGGAAACAAGAACCCGTGCCACAAACAAAGCATTTAATATGAATAGCAGAGAAGCCATTAAAATGGAAGGTGGGTTCATGAATATTCTGCTATCCTTGTATTGTGTGATTGTCATAAATGTCATTTGGTCACCGCTACCACAGTTCTTAGCACATCTAAATAAATCTTTGCTACTTGGAAGATCAATGCCAACGATGCTTTTTCACAGGCTTCAAGTGAAATTAATTACACATGACCTTATCAGAAGCTATGGGTTTATTATGATGGAAAAAAGAAGAAAGAAAGTAAACTCAAAAGCCGAATCAGATTTACTCGCGGTGAATACAGAAAGATCAAGATTACCCTGATCGAAAGAAAGGGATTAGGCCGATGACATTGACAATACTGGTGATTTGGACATTAAAGGGAAATAAAAACTTATACCAAAACAATGAATATGACATTTTCATGTGTTAATGTGAATGGTTACCTGTTGACAAAGGAGGGCTTGAAAGCCACTAAACATAGTATTTTCAAACTTAGCTTTCCTATAACCATTAAATTCAACCTTTCCATTATTTGCTTAACTTTATAACCATTATTGGTGATCAAGAATAAATATCTTTCTTCTTTTAGTTCTCTATTATTGGTGATAGAGGTGGACCACAAATGAAAACAAAAAATGCCTTAATCATTTCTACAAACTTTAAGCAAATTTTTTTTTATCAATACACCCAAATAAGTTAATCATATAATCTGACAATCCAAATATATTGTGAATTGAGTAATCGACCCTTTGATTTACGAGCAAGCATATTGAAGTTGAAAATTTGGAAAGGTTTAAGGCACATACCCTGCATTGGCTCTAGTGTAGAAGCCAGCATTGATGCTGGAGCCACCACCCAAGACTCTAGCTCTTGAATTGAGGACACCATCAGTTGAAATGAAATATTGCGAGGCAGAAGTTGGTGAAGTGTCGGCTAAAGCCAAGTGAAAGTTGCTCAAAAATGAGACATTTACATTGCTGAAAGGCACACCACCTCTCTCCAGCAGTAACACACTGAAGTTTTGAGAGAGTGTGGCTGCTAATGGGCACCCTGCTGTGCCTCCTCCCACAATTATGTAGTCATATCTTCCACTGTTTCTTGATAAGATCGCCGACGATGATGACGAGGAGAACGAGCTTGCTGGTTTGATAAATGGGTACCTGTATGGATTGAAGTACTTGCTACTACCTGCATTGAAAAGAAGACAGTATGACCATATGAAAAAGAATGCAATTAAGTGAAAGATAAATATTCAAACAGATGAAGATATTGACATTAATGATCCACACGGAAGAAATTAATGGCACAATCAGTCACAATTAACTTTAATTTCTCTCTGAGATATCTAGAAAATAAGATTTTGACTCATAAACAGCACATATTCTGCAGATTTGGGTGGGAAAAACCTTCATATTTCATGCAATTTTTCTCCAACTTCTTGCTCAATGAATCCATTAAAATCAAAGTCCAAAGCAACACAAAAATTCTAAGATTCATGGAAAAATAAACCATGCAATAGAGATCAAGATAATGGGAAACTAAAAGGAGAGAAATTAAAATAATAAGACCTTGACAGGAAGAGAGCAAGCTGAGGCAGAGAGCTAAACACACAAACAGTCGCTTCAATTCAACAAGAAGAAGTAAAGCCATCGAAAAGCAGCACGCAGAGACCGCTGAAAACCACTCAAACTAACACAGAAGAAGTTTAATTCTTCAACCTCTATGTGGCTCTCTCTGGTTGGCCTTGTTTTGAGGAGTGCTCAGAACCCATATATATATATATATATATATATACATATACATACATACATAAATATATATTATATATGCATATAATTAAACACGGAGATGACGATGAGGATGAATGAAAAGGAATTCAAAAGCAACAAAAAAATATATGCAGGGTCCAGCTGTAATTAAGGTGAGTGCAGACTCTAACAGGTAAAGTCATTAATTCTGAAATGAATGCTTACAGTTGGAGTAGAA